TCTTCTACCCTTATGGTACAATATAAGTCTTTACCCGTACCTTGACAGATATCTCAATCAATCAATTTGTATTATTGCTTAATTAACTTTGATATGGGAAACTATATATAGCTTAGTATAAGGAACTTTTCAATATAATAATTATTCAAGAAACTAGATTATCTTATTTAAGGAAGATTCAAGATTATTGGTTGGGCTAGAGATTCCTTTTAATTAAACTTATTGCTTATTATGAAAGTCCATTTTGTATTTCTATCTAGCAAGTTTTATAAAGTAATAAACAATTCACTTTCTGGATAAATCCTTGAACCACCACCCCCAATAAATATTATTAATAATATTGAATGGGAAGTAGAGTATATTCTAACTATAAAGAAAATATATCAACAGCTTAAATATAGAGTATTGTGGCTAAATGCTGATAATGATTTCATTTGGTACTCTGCCTTTAACTTAAAAACTATCCTGTACTATCTTTGTAATTTCTATTTACAAAATCCCACTTTGCTAGAACCTCTTATACATTTATTGGAATAGATTTATCTTTATAAAAATGAAAAGGATAATTATAATTTTACAGATAATAATTAATATATAAATGAAAAAGATAAAAAGAACTTCTTTAATTTATTATTATAATAAAGAAAATCCTAATTATATAAAAAGCTGAAAGTAATTGAATAAAGATAAAATGTTAATAAAAAAAGTCTTTTCCTCTGTCCGATAGGTTTAAATCAAATTAGAAAAAAAGCTCTTATAATTATTAATGGTTATGGTTGGGTAAGGTATGATAGTAAAGATTGGATGGTTTAAATCGAAATATTAGCTGAGTCTCTAGTCAACAGTGATAATAAGTATATATAGAATAACTATAAATCGAAAGACAAGATAACTCTTAGTTATAGTATATGTGATAATAAGACCAAGCTAGTATTCAATTGTATCCAATCGCTTATAAACTACCAAAAGCTTTATTTCCATTTGAGTTATAATGAGCTGGTGCTATTGCTTCAATTCGTTTTCTTATATTGTAATCTTTGCTATGTGATGCTCTGCGGCTTTTTGAATAAGGGTAAAAGGAAGTATTTCTTTTGAAATGTAATTCTTTAGCTTCTCCTATATATCAAGTTATCTTAAGAATTAATTTTGCTAAAAGTTAATAAAAGTTATAACTTATCTTTATTATATTATTATATTTAATAATAGCTAATTGGTATTGAAGAAATATCTTATATATATCCCTATCAGACAAATACTTATACTTATACTTGCTAGTCAGACAAAGTAGATAGCAAGATTGACCAAACAATTATTCAGAAAGTTGATAGCAAATATTATTTTCTTTACTGAAAATATAATTATGTATATAGTCAACACAAATCTAGCTATCCTCCTAAATATATTATTCCTACTATAGTATTGTCTTTTTTGGTAACCTTTTATTTGGAGATTCCTATTTATTGATATCAATAAAGCTAATACTTCTATAATAAAATATATCGAATTTATAATCAGATTGACTTTGATATAAGGCCTTTAAAATATCTTCCTTAACTATCTTACTATTATTTTCGAGATTACGAAAATGATATATTACTGTGATCAATTTGTTAGCAAACTTCTTTTTATAATTATTAATATAATCAATCAAGGAATTGTATTTTTCTTTCAAATTCTGTTTCGAAAAACGATGGAATGGATATATCCAATAAGTATATCAAAGATCAATCCTATCTTTAGGCATATTACTTTTGATATCTATAATTGCATTTGTTAGATAAGCTAATCACAAGCTAGAGATATTAAAAGAAAGCTTTATTTATATATATCTTTATCATTTAACCTATCTTCTTTATTATCTTTCTCCTTATTAATAAGATTATTACTATTCCTACTATAATTCAACTTTTTCTTTTCTTTAATAGAACACTTGCCTTGTATAATAGAAAAGATAAATACCTTTTTCGCTGCAAGTTATAAAGAAATATATCAGCAAAGCAAATACAAAAGAAAAATAAACAACTTACTACCATATATGTGTCCTCCCATTACTTCAACTATACTAATAACAACTTATTCTTGCTGCTGTGTTTTCTTGATAATATAAAAGGCATATTGATTATGATTAAGGGATATAAAGAAGGTAAATGATTAGAAAAGATTTAAAAGAGAAAGGGAAATTCGAATAATCTATATGTTTTAAAGGCTTTATATTATTATTAGGCTATAGAACGATTTCCTTCGTTTTCTATACACCTTTTTATCGCGAAAAAAGCAAAATTTGCGCATATGCCTGTTTATTATGTTATACTATAATGTAAATAACAACACCTTATTGGGATCACTGATATATCTATAGATTAGATAATTATAAAGCTTGAGGACAAGCTTTTTCGAAAGGGGGGGTAGTGTTATGGATCGCACTTAATCGCAGCTGCAATTGCTTATATGCATATTTGTGTATATACACGATTACGTATACATAGCTAGTATATAGAAGTGCTCTACGAGCGCTTTGCTCCCGATTCTGTAGTTGTAGATTCTAAGGATAAATTGTACCCTGCTCTCGCAGTTCTTCTAAGGCAAAGTGTCACAGCCTTTAGATTGACTATATAGTTGCGTGTGTAAACATATTAATCTCCATATAGTATTATATGAGGGGATCAATATGTCTGTCTATGGTTCGTCTAATCTAGCCCGTTTAGGTAGCCGTATTACTAATCACTACACGTGCTTAGTACCGGTAACTTCTATTCCTTTTAACAAAAACTAATAAGCAAAACAAATTAAATACTATAAAAACTAACATTAAATAAAACAATAATTTAATGATTATTATATTCATTAGATTATAGGTGTAAATAATTAAAAAACTATTAAAGAAATGGGGGGGAATAATAAGAAAATTTCTGAAATAAAGAAAATCTTTATTAAATTAAATAGGTTTTTGTAGCTTCTCTATAAACTATATTCAAAGTATTCTCAACTTTAAGGTTTTTTATAGATAACCCTTAACTATATAAAATTTAATCAATTCGTAAAGCACTATCGATTACTTATATTATATTATTATTATCAATATAAAGCTTATAAAAATCAAAATAAAGAAAAGAATCGAAAGATAGAAAATCGAAGGAATTATATTGTAACTGGGATTCTGTCACGGGATCACCTCTGGGAGTATTCAGAAGCTTTACCGCTGAGCTAAACGCCCAAAAGACTAGGAGGTAGAAACTGGAAGTTCTACCTTACTCTCACATATATAGTAGAACAGGATAGAACAGAAAGGGCTTAGTATTACTTTGTGATATTATCCCTTTCCTTAAGGTATAATCTCCATACCATTATCTATTAGGAGGTTTCAGAATTCAGGATTCAGAATTCTAATACCTCAGGCATTCAGACAAACAGACAGGATCTATATATGCTAATCCTCAAACCAATAAAGGCTTGTAAGCTATTAAGTGGGCCCCCCATATAGCTCCACTTATAACCAAGGGTAGTTCTACCTAATATCACAGGATCATCTCTGGGAGTATTCAGAAGCTTTATCGCTAAGCTAAATGCTCAAAAGATTAGGAGGTAGAACTGGAAGTTCTATCTTACTCTCACATATATAGCAGGACAGAACAGGACAGAAAGGGCTTAGTATTACCCTGTGACAGATTCTCAAGTTATCAAAAGAAAATAAGAGTAGATAACAATTGTCTGCCAAAACTTCATTACTCTTTTCAACCTCATAGATTAGATTACAATAGTATCATACATCTAAGTATTTCATATAGTCTTTATTGTCTTTAATCCTATAGATTAAATCACTATAATGCTGCATATCTGAGTATTTATTATAATCTCTATTATTTTCAATCTTATAGGCTGAATCGCTTTAATACTATACACCTGAATATTTATTACAGTCTCTACCGTAATAGCACCGCGTGCTTTACAACACCACACAGAATACCGAAATCTTACAACAATACCGAAGCCAGATTTATTCACCAAGCGGAACCACACTCCCCCAATTGCTCAATCGTATTGAACCAAATACCACCTAAATATCTTTTGGATTTGATTATATTTACAAAAAATAACAGTCTCCAGATTTAACGAAATCGCTACTATCTATCGTAATATTAATCAAGTGATTTTGGAAAACTAATCCTAGTGCTACGCGAATCCGGGCTTATAACCTGTTAAAAGATTGTATATAAGTTGATAGAAAAGCCTTGATATTATTAAGTTCTATATAGAGATACAATATATATGTGTGGATTCGATAGAGTTATATACGGGCTAATCCCGATACAGCATAGCATGATATACGGTATAAGCACCTTTTCTAACAATATAGATATTAACTTTGTCACACATAGGGTATTCAGTGTGGATTGCGAACATGTTATCGGACCATGCATGAGAAGCTGCAAGATATGATGGCATGGCATCAATGGAGTAGGGTTCAAGTGCTCCGGAATCCATATTGATCAACTTGGTTCGCGTTATGTTTGTACTTTACTGTTGTCTTCGTCGCGTCGTACCTGATACGTATCTTGGTGGAAGCTAGTACCTCTAGGAAGCTTTTCAATCAAACTCCCAATTCATTGTAATTAAGATTGAAATTGGAGAATGACTATTAAGACAGCAGAGATCGAAAGAGCCACTGTGCTGTTGGGGCATACACGTTGATGATTGAGGAGCCTCGTACGTCGAGATCCAAAAAGCTTCGGCTTGTTCGAGATCCTCGTAACATAATCTTGATATAACTAATAGACGAAAGTATCAAGTTCCAGCTCGTCGATTTCCGACTGAATTGGTAGTTATCAATAGTCCGTGCACGAAATTGACTGTTAGTCGGCTCCCTCGGACAAACCAACCAAGGTTGGACAAAAAATATTTCACAATACAACAATGATTCAAAAAAGTTCAATCAAATTATCAATTCCCTAACATTATCTATCGAGATTCAAAGGGTAGCATTGATGAGTTGGTTCCTTATTGAATTTCGGAGAAGGAATCTGATGAACTTGATTTTGTCCCTTTATTTCGTCCACACTGAGTGTATTCCGCACGACGCCACATGCCTCGACAACAGAACATAAACATCGACACACTCATCAAGCTGCACTTAATTCTCATTGGAGCTCGGAATATCTCAATATATCACGAGCTACCAGGCAGAAGCTATTGTGTTGAACGACTGCGGAACGATCAAATGACCTGGATACTCGTTTCGTTTACGTAGGCATCGTGTTGGAACATCGCGGATTCTCTTTGACAAGCATGCTCGTCTCATCAGCCCTCGGTACTGAACTTGCCACTTGAATACAAATGCTCGCTTCTGTCACACACAAATATGCGGAAAGCATTTCATAGCGTCTAAATTTCCTACTACCTACTAGCGCTTACATACTGAAAGATAGTCCACCATTAGCACTTATCAAACTTCCCGTCATCCACGATGAATCTGGATCGCAGATGATGGCAATAATGCCTGCAATATCATGATCATAAGCTGCTCTTCCACCTAATCGATTGCCTAATTCTCTGACTTCAGGACTGTCGGTTTCTCTGACTGGGGCTAATGGCGTCAATGGATTCCACAAAGCCAGACCCTGTTTAACTTCCTCGGAAGCAGACAAATACATGTCAGTCATAACAGGCCCAGGATTAATAGCATTAACTGTTGCCCTTTCCGCCAATTCTCTAGCCCACACACGAGTCATTGCCTCCATCGCCGCTTTCGTACCTGAGTACAACGTTGTGTGCGGCGTCCCGATTTTGGAACTGATACTAGACATCATCACAATACGACCAGAACGATCGGTGGGGAGGAAGGGCTTGCAAGCTGCTGTCAACAGCGTAGGGTCCAACACATTGACAGCGTAGATGTGGTGGAATTCTTTTTCGATAACACTCTCAAGGGGACCGACATATAAAACTGCGGCATTGTGTACCAGTATATCGATTTGTAGAGCGCCAGTATTGGAGTTTTTGAAATTCTCTTTCGCAGCAGCGATAATCTGTTCGCAGCCAGCAGATGTACTAATATCTGCACGCACGGTTATCGCTTTTATACAATGCTTCGATTTGAGTTCTACTTTGAGAGTAGCTGCGGCAACATCAGAGCTCGTAGTAGCATAGTTGATAACAATATTGCAGCCTTTGCTTGCAAGCTTTCTAACTATTCCAGCCCCAATACCTAAGCTTTGATGAGCATCACGAGTGTGTAATGTTAGGAAACTTAGGGCGAGAGCTTACTTCTGGCTGACCCAGTGACAATAGCCAATTTACCTTCATGGATCCGAGGTTCTACAGCCTGTGACGGCAGTTGCGTCTCTAACATGTTTTTTTTTTGGCTGAGCTGAGCTGAGCTGATGTGATGAGACCTCGAGTTCTGGCCGGAATTTTCGATGACTTCTATCGAATATTGGATATGGATCAATTACATAGTACCCAAACTTGTGATGACAGATCTGTCCTTCCCAACCTCCCACTACCCCTGACACAAGATTCAGCTTTCCTCCACCATCGTATGTTATAGGCGCATTGTACATGGGGCAACATTTCTCCATCGAATTGGTAGAATGACAATCAACCATAGATCTTGCATGTCTCTAACGTAGTCTGAGAAGCCGGCACAAGTTCCATGTTTTGGAAAGGAATATGCATTAGATTGCAAATTCCGGTAAAGATTCGCCAAATGCCAGTCGTCAATATGCGTTTCTTCAAATACCCCGTTTATTCAAATCTCCATCTTATTTAATGGGCCAACGCATATTTGGTAAACGAGTGTAATTATTACCTAGGTACACTCAAGTGGGTACAGGAATTGATCCCGGATTTTCCAAATAGCGGGGCAATTGTTCTTCCTGAAGTTAGCCGTTCCCTGTACCGAGAGGGCGTATGGGTCCCCCCATCTCTATTTTGCGGCAAGCTTTAATGTAGATATTTGTGGACTGGGATTAGTATATTCTTTAGTCATTGAGCCTCGCAACCATTGCACCTATCGCACGTGGTTATGAGGATCAATTCGCTCACTCTAGCTCAGCTGTTTCCCCATTCTAAACAGTGATCAAACTGCAAAGAAATGACTCAAGACTACCGTAGAAACCAACACATTAGGACTAATACTAAGCTTATTTCAGTTTCTGGCTTTTCCCGAAGCTGAAACAAAAGTGGATAACATAAGTGTATTTGCTTGAGAATGATATCAAATTCTTCACCCCGGGAATAGGAAATGAGAAAAAATCTTATTGAAATGGAGATTCATTGGTGCAACTCTTCACTTGCGAATTTAGACGGTACTGAGTTTTTTATGTAACATTGTGGGGAACGCAATCAAGGTGAACAGGCTGCCAAGAAACTGATCTTGACCCCTGGCAAAACTTTCTCAGGAGTAAATAAGCCTCGACTTTCAATAGAAATATCCGATTATCGTTAGCAAAGAAAACCATGCCAAGGAGTTATCAACGCGGAATAGATAGCTTCCTGCATTCCTCATGACTAGAATTGGACTTTCTTGCCGACATATGAGCTATCAGAGCAACCATTACCGACTCGTTATTTTACATCGCCTACCGCGGTTCGAACAAGATGCATTGCCATTACTTCAAGACAACCCTTTCTCGTGGCATACAGAGTGGTCTGATATCTAAATGGGCTAACGTCGTCAAGGAGATACGAGCCTAACCTCTGGCTTCAAGACTCAACTAGCACCTTGTGTAGGGATGAACTCTATGCTAATGTAACCGATTTCCCTACTACATGCACGTCCCTGCTATATGCACGATCTCGATCACCCTTTTTGAATAACTTTAAAAATTAATAACAATTCCAATTTATAAGATAAAGAGCTAGCAATTTAATTAATAAATGATAAGATACAATACTATCTAAAAACATAATAAAATCTTCAGATTTTGAATTTCGATGGAACTTGTAGTGCTTGCTCTCTATTAGATTGTAATATGACCTTCTTCTCTTTTCTTTTTGAATTATTAGTCTTTATAGCATTAAAGAGCTCTATAGTTTTTGTTAATGTTAGATTTATAGTAAAAAAAGCTTTAAAAAACTTTTTATTTCTTTTGATTAGAGATTTTATTGATTTTAGAATCTTTTTAATCTTCTCTTTATATTATATACAATCTAACAATCAATCTCCCTCTACAATACCCTCTTTTTCATTTCAATCTTCTTTTATTCCTTCTCAGCTTTCTTTTCAGCTTTTATCTGAAACTTAGCTTCCTTTTCTTGTTCCTCTTTAAATACTTTATCTTCTTGATACACTTTAGCTTTAATAATAGTAGAAGGTGATCATAAAAATACATCATTCCCCTTCTTTCCAATGAGATTAAACATTTTGAACAAGCTCTTTTCCTTTTTTCAAGCTTTAGAAACCTTTTCTAAACCTTTAGATCTATATCCTTATATAAAAGCTTCAGCTCCTAATATAATTGCAGCCTTAAAAAGCTTTAAAGTAATCTTATGGGTAGGAGTACAACGAAATTCTAATTTCATTCTATACATCGCTTTTGATATATACAATATAGCAAGAATATCCCTATGAGTTTTTAATAATATAGATAGTGTAAAAGGAGTTTTCGGAGTAATACAATTGATTGTAAAACTTCTATTCATAGAATATATACCCGTTTTTTCAAAGGATTATAAGATATTATGCCTCGTACAAGTAAGCTCCAAGCCTTTTTAAATATACCCCAAAATATACACTTTGTTATATCAATAATCCCCTTATTATTGTACATCAAATCATTCAATAATATACTGTAATTCGTCGAAAAAGCACTGAAGATTCCAACATCAAGAGGCTGTAGTCGATATATAAAATAAGGGAAGAGAATTAAAACAATAATCTTTAATTCATTATATTTTAAAAGGAATTCCATATTGACATAACTAGAATAACTATTGATAATAAGTAAACGATATTTTCCACCTGCTTTTCGATATATAACAGGATTGAATATGTTTATAAGCTAATATAGGCCAAAAGCATTCGATAACCACCCATTGCTTAAGACTTCAAAATAGACTTTATCCTTCTCCCCTATATCCTGAACCCATATATCTTATAGATCCCTTGAGTCTCCTTTATAAATAAGAGCGGAAAAGAGAACTATCCCATCAGCATATATAATTACCAATAGAGTAATAAACTCTCTTAATCCATCTTGCCTAGCTTTTATCACTCTGCCTCTATTATAAGCGCTAGCACTCATTATCCTCTTCATAGTCCTCCCCATACCAATCATAAAGCCCTTCTCATCCCAATTGTAATATATCTCTCGGCCATATATATATTTTATAATTACTTTTATCAACTAAATTAAAAAAGAGGAGTATTAGCAAAAGCGTTTTAGATAATAAAGATCAACAATAATAGAAAATAGCTCAAATCAGATTATAAAAGTAATCAAATATAGTAATATTATTAACTTTCACACACAAATTATTAATATAACGGAGATACCGACTTTTAAGACATATTGAATGCCTCTTGACAAAATTGCTAGTCCAGTTCTTTTCCACCTCTCTGCCTAGAATCTCTTCTACAAGGTTTCTGATTATATAGCTTATAGAAGGAATAGATCTCTGTATTAGCTTATTGATTTGATTAACTAAAACCTTCTTTGATTACTAGAAAGCATTTGTTTTGTATCGAAGAGAAACTGTTTTCTCAAGATAGTTTTATCTCTATACTACCAGAAGAGCATGGATCGATTAATTTTAAAGAAATTAGCTGTCTGGGTGTATTTAGAAGCTTGAATCTTTTTCAAATGATTTAATATAAGCTCTATATAAGCCTCTAAAGATATATCATCAATGTTTGAAGTTATAATGTTGATATTTTCAAAGTCGTGCACGTAGTAGGGACGTGCACATAGTGGGGAAATCGGTTACCCCAGCTTTGTTTGTTTTTCTTGAGTTCTGGAAGAGTTGATTTATGTGCTCAGCTTTACAGCCACGTGAATTTCAGTCTTTTAGTTGAGATCTTTCTGGGTTGTCATACGGCATGCTGGCACAAAACGTGGCAAGATTTCAGATGACAATGAGATGGACAATTGACAATCAATTGCAAATCAGTCAAAATTTACGAGTTCGAAATTATGTACTGAGCGACGTCACTGTCGAGAGAATGCGAGTAGTTTTTGGCAAGTGATTATGCCCTTATGATCATTTTCTATTCTTTCAGTTGATACGGGCAACCAATATCCTAGTTTACTTCGCCAAATATCCTCCATCTACGGGCAAACAAACACCAGTGACATATGAGGAATTATCTGACGAGAGCCACAACGAGGCTTGTGCGACTTCATGAGCCATTCCGAAACGATGCAAGTTGCTGACCGTTGGGGCAAACTCTTCCATGGTAGTTCCCAAAATCTCCAATGCTGCGGCTGACATATCACTCTGCTTTTGCGTTAGTTTCGTGAAATGCTATATTATTGCAACATAGTGATAAACTCACAAAGATAGCACCTGGTGCAACGGCATTCACCCGGATCCCCTTTGGTCCTCCCTCCACAGAGGCATGTTTAGTCAAACCAATGATAGCATGTTTCGTTGCTGTATAAGCAGGCATGTTTGGTTGTGGCCTAAAAGCGTTGATAGATGCAATATTGACGATAGAGCCTTTAGTGCCCTGTTTTGCCATCTGTTGCATTTCATACTTGCAACATAGAGCGGTTCCAGTGAGGTTGATTCCCACGAGAGTATTCCAGTAGTCTTCATCAAAATTGATAAGCTGCGTTTTGTCTGGCGTGAGAGCAGCGTTGTTAACAGCTACATCGAGCTTGCCGAATTTCTTGACTGTTACCGCGATGAGATTTTGAACGTCCGCCGACTTGGAGATGTCGCATCGCACAAATATGATGTCCCCAAACTGCGACAACTCTTTCTCGGTTGCTTGACCCTCGACTACTTTCACATCGGCAATGACCACTTGAGCACCAGCTCGTAGAAAGACTGATGCTGTAGCCTTTCCCATGCCTTGTGAACCGCCGGTTATGATTGCAACCTTGCCTTTCAGGACAGGGTAGACGGCAGCCTCTGGAACTTCCATTTTGCGGGTGATGTAAATTAAAATGTATAAAGTACGGGACTGACTCGAGTTGAATTGAAAGTATATATTTCTTTGGAGTGAATTTGACCAGAGCAACAATAGTATGATATAGGAGATATCACTGCTGCACGTTTATGGCCAACCAAGTAGATTTAATTGACCTCGTAAATCACGTAGGAGCTGCAAGTGAGACAATATAACACATCAAGCGAGTTATGAAGCCTCCGATTGTGTGGAAAAGCCGAATGATTGGTGGTGGCGCTGGCTGCTGAAGCTCTGACATCTTTATCCACTGCGAAAGCTATTTTAGCGGTGTACATTTGATTGATCACAATCCCATCTTATCAGTCTCGATTATATGCCGGCAAACCTGTAGGCTATGACCCACACCACT